TCGAAAACGGCTCAGCCTTAGTTACAAACGTAGTTAAATCCGCTTTTAGGAGATGTTGAAGATCATGCTAAATTTTGCAGGTCTGAAGACTTCTGCTATTGACTTCTGTTCAGAAAAATGATCCTAGGATTGCAACGGTCGTTGAAGTTCCCCCGTAATTTAGCGTGGAGACTCCAGGATGGCAGAGAATTAAAGCGTTTTGCTTTTTCGTAGACTGAAGTTCCATTGGCGAAACGATTGCGAAAAAATGGACCAATTTTTTAGTATTCATCGAATGGGCACAAATGTGGGACCTTTCCTAAAGTCAAAAAGAGTTGAAACGGAGAGTCTGTCGTGTGCATGAAGCACAATCAGTGATTGTAGTTGGCAGTGGTTTATAGATGAAGACTAATGCATTGTCGTCTGCACATGGTACCAATCGAGATGGCGAGGAAGAGTTCGTTCAATCGAGCAAACCCATATGCCAGTTGGTTAGAACAACTACACTGCAGGCAGTCTTAATAAGTGAATACCTGCTTTTAGCCAACTTTCGTGGTGTACTACACTTACTTTGTTCTTTCACTCATCCTTTTTAAACTGCTGCCTTGAACCATGGGTCGAAATCGAAATTCCATTAACTGTTATCACAGCAGGTAAGGAATCGATATCTCCTTGGAAAACTATCTAAGCATTATATCAACAACATTAATACATCTAATTTCCGGTTCTTAACAGTTTTTTGAGATCTTGACATACGCGAAGCCACCCTTCTTAATGCGACTATTTCCCTTACATATTGGATAATAACATTTTCTGCATTTTCCTAATCTCACATTGGCGGAACACCGTTTATTTTGTGTACTTATGTCATTTTTCTTTTTTTAAAATACAGCAATAGTAAATACCCCTGAACATTTCCACATCATCTTAGCTGGGAAATTATTCTGTTTACTTACTGTTTATTCATTTAAGCTGGCCCCCAGTTTAAACAAAGTTTGGCAATGCACTATGAAAACAGTCTATCAGGTGCTCAGTGAATAAAATCGTTTAAGTACACGATATATCGCTGTTGGTAATTGTTATACATTGCTGAAGTGTGTCGAGCTGCAAGGCTAAGCTGCTCATAATCCATTACTGATAGGCCAACTGTTTGCGTTGTGCGAACTTCAACGTTGTTTATGCTGTCGTCAATATCAACCAACGCAGGAACAGAATATTTATCCACACACGTTCCAGCAATTCCTCTGTCGCTCCTCTCACTGAGATTGGGTGCAGAAGGCGGACACAGGAACAGGAAGTCGATGCCTTGCAAGTCAACATGATGATATATTAATCCAATTACTTAACGAACTGCTCCTTTTAACATTATCTGAAACGATTTAATTTCACTTAACCATTATATCACCTATTTCCTTCCTAATAAAGAAAGCCGACAGATTTTTGGCATTCGTAGACAATGCACTTACAGTCAAGAAGGCGAATCTGGTGTACGGCGGATTCCTTCACCCATGCACTGAGCTTAAAGAATATCGATGCTTGCAACGATGCCGATGCACTTGCTACTGCTCAGCTCTTTCACTGTCTGATAACCATAATCACTGCCAACACCGCTGGTTTGTTTCTTTCGTAAGCAAGATAAAAGTGAATTCACTACGATACTTTCATATCCCGTTACCGTTTCACGATGTTTCTATGATAACAGTATATACACAACGCGACCCTGCGCTAAGATAGCACATTTGGATTATTTATGTGCTTATATTAGGGAAATGTGAC